GTGGGGTATTAAATTACGAGCCAAGTATTTGAACAAGAGGTATTGCTGTCCCAAGGAAAATTGCTGTTCATTGGGGTATTCCTGTCCCTCGGGTTATAGCTGTCCCTGGGGGGAATTGCTTTCCCTTGGAGTATTTCTTTCCCAAGGAGTATTGTTGTCCCTAAGGATATTGTTGTCCCTAGGGGTATTGCTATCTCAAGGAGTATTACTGAGAAGCCCTAGGGACAAGGTTAACAATTCCTCAGCAGCAATTAATACTCCGAAGTGAGAGAGGCAATAACGTTACGGTTCGAACCCAGATCTCCAGATCTGGGGTTTAGCGCACATGTGTGCGGACCAATAGACCTCGGTGTCTCGCTGGGAAATACACTTGAATTTGATGACAAGCTCTGCTAAGGTTGTCAAAACGTCATGCACTACTACCGACAACAGTCTTTCCCAGGACAACTCCCAACCCGACGATCAGAGTGCCTAATCAAACAGCCTTCAGTGAAGAAGGGAACGCAGAACAAAATTAACAAAACTGACTTACTGGTCACTGCCATTGACTGTAACTCTATACAAAGACGGGCCTTGGATGGAAAACGCAACTCTGCTTTGTGATGGATCCCCAATCGAAAACACCGTGACACTTTGCGTGACCTCGGGGTCACGCAGTCTTATCCACCAGCATGCTGACAGTTCATGGAGTTCAGTTATATTTGAAATCACTGCGTGTGTGAAATTAGCTTTTTGAATCAAATCTATGGAGTAGTCCCATTCAGTATCTAAAAATAAGCAATGGAGACGATCAGTGCCGTACTCAGATTTATCGAGATAAACTTAATCAGAGATCTGTTAATCCTTTAACCCTTAAGGGTGACTAACACCTAATTTCTTCCTACAATATCACGCCTGAGTCAAACATTAAGTTCACGGGTATAAAAGAAATGATTACTAACTAAAGAAGCTATTGATTGTCGAATAATTTTCCTTACTAGCCAGAGGAGATGAGTTGAGAACAGTTTGGAAAATATGAATTTTGAAGAGTCAACGAATAACATGCTCCAGTAACGATATGATTATAATTTCCGATATGAAAAACTTTTACAAGAAAAAAGAGATCCTTCACACCTGTCAATCCTCTGATTTTCATGGAGGTAGACTTTTTAGGTAATGAATTCATCGACCCCGGGGAAATTCTTGGACTTCTGCCTAAGCTGTTGAAGTTAAAGCCGTTGAAGTTAACGCCGGAGTTACTCATATTACAATACTTATACCACCATCCACCACGATACTCTTGGGAGCAACCTTCATCATTTCTCCTATCTTTTGTAGAGAATTTCACATTTTTGTGATATGTGAGAACATCTCCTGCACTCCCTGTATAAGAACCCAGGTGAAGCTCGTACCCATTCTCCTCAGAACCAATGCTAAAATAGCTATAACGTGCATGTGCTACTGATTTATCATACTCTTCGAGCTCCACCAGTAGTTCGTGATGTTGATCAGTCAGTCGGTAGATTCTGTCATTTCCCAACCAAAATTCTTGTGTAAGGTTTCCAAATCCATTCTTGTAATCAGACCAGTTTCTGTCGAAGTCCTCAGATCCGTCGAAACGTTTTTGAAAAACAATCCAGCCTCCTCCATTGGTGTTTTGATCGCAAAAGACGTGGAAAGGTTCTTGGCTATCGGGTTTGATGAGGTACACGCCATTCCGTTTGAAACCTTTTTCAAGAAGGTCCACACAGTCTTTGGCTAATGGGAAAAAAGCACTCTAAAAAAACCCTGAAGATTGGAAATTATTTGTCGAATGTTGCTACATCGGAGATGAGAAAGCTAATCAAACACGAGATACGTCAGCTGTGAGCTGTGGTTTGTTTGCATACACAAGCGTCACGCACAAGAATTTACCCACTAAAACACGTGCCTGGCAATAGATGCGTGCGCATAGTTTTGGTCATTTAGCGCTGCCAAAGTAAGCCTGATACCGTCGTCATTAAGTTGAAACGCCCTGTTTCTTAAAACCCGATCATAACTAATTCCAGAGGATTACAAACTGGTTATAAGAAAAAAAACTTTCACTTACCAATATCCCTACTGTTTGCATAAGTGAAGAAAAGAAAGAGTTGCAAACTTCCAAGACCCAGCAAGACCTAATGGCGAAAAATACTCAGTTTGGTTGAAAATTTGTTCTACAGTTGTACAGTATAATTAAGTGATTAATGCATCCTCACTGTCTTTCCCCACCCATCCCTCCCCCATCTACCTGATTCTCGTCCAAAAAGACTGATACACATTCGTATTATAAACAGAGAATTTTCTCGAAAGGTATCAAAATAATATTAACTTGATATCTCCATCGAAACAATACATTGAACCACTACAAAGATTGCCAGGAGTTGCGAGATTAAATTCCCCCGACATAGCAAAAAGTTTTACAGATAAGAAAGAAAATATCAGGTACAAATATGCAAGAATTAGAGGACAAATGTATAAACACAAGAGCAAATTTTATATTTGTTTGAAATAGGATTAAAATGATCGAAGACAAAAATAATACTTCCCAAAAAATGATTTATGTAAAGATTAAGTTATAAACTTCGAATTTAGCGATGAATCACACAAACATCAACAAAAAGCGTCACGATGAAAGAAAGAAGATCTCCAAATACTAAATTAAAAACAAAAAAATTTTCAAAACGAGACTTACAGTTGATTACTGAAACAAAGCAAAGGTAGAGAATTAAAGAAAATTAACAAATTATTTTGATGAGTTTTATAAATCAAGATACGGAGAACTTCCTTTTAGCTCTCCTTCAGTGAGAAAAGTTCGGGTATGAAAGAATACCACTGTTGCAGGTGTTTTCCTTTATCTAGTTCAAAAAACGTAGTCAGCTAACATAGGTGTATCGGATTCAACTTGAATCTACGTTGCCCAAACTCATCCAACTCTTATTGAGGCAAGTTACCTAGAGTTTTGTTTGTTTTCAGACTCTTGCGAGATGAAGATCTTCTCTATATCGAAAAGTCTAAAAAAACGTTTGATTATATAGATATTATTACAAAAATAGTGATCATTGCTCCGTTCGTGTTTACCCGTCTTTCTCTATCGAGGCTTTCGCCGAGGGACGACACCTTATTTCTGTAAGCGTCTTGCAGTAAATAGGTCAATGGAATTCGATAGATGTCGCGCAAATGTTCAAAATACGCCGGATTTGTTTCAAGAATGATAGTGTTTTCTCGGTTACAGTGGGCAAAGTTTTTATAATTTAGCATATGGTTGTTGAGAAACGAAATAAGCCTCTTGCTTCTGTTATATTAAAGAAAATGTTTTCCAATGAAAAATTTGTGTTAGAGGGTGGATTTGGTCACTTTTGCCAGCCTACGTCTTGGAGAATTACTGTCACATTTTTTCCGCATTAACATCACGGAAACAGAAAATTTAAGCTATCAGAAGGAAGTTTTGAATAATAAGAAATGCAATACCAAAAATACAAACAGAACACGACTAGAATTCACCAACTACTGAACTTCATCCCAAGTTTTCTAGTACTAGCTAGTTTGACAGACCATAGGAAAAATTAATAGACATTTTACCAAACTAAGCGTGAACACAACATTAGATCAGCGAAGATTCCTTAAAAACTGAAACCTGAAATGATATAAAACAGGCTCTTCAAAAACCCTAGTTGTCATAGACGAAACAAGAGAGTGAAAAGCGAAAATATTCTTTATGCAAAGTTAGAATTCATAATGAGAAACTGTTATTAAAACTTGAAATTGTGTTTGACTTTTACCTCTTCGAACCCCAAGTCAGATTTGTCGAGTTTTCTTAAGATAATACAATTCCTTTCACTCTTACCTTTGAGAGCATATTAATGTTATCCAGAATTGGTAGAAGAGCTTTAGAAATGACCCAAAAGATCTAAACTTGCTTCTTTTTCGTAGGCCATGCTAATATGATAATAAATTAAAGGCATCTCTTAAGGACTCGAACTGTGCGTTTCTACAGCATCTGTTATTTTCTCATCAGTTCCGATTATTGCTATTGACCGCAAGGTCAATAACATTCAAATTTTCTACCCATCTACCCAGCTGTTTTATATCTTTATTTTCGTTATTTTAAAGGTGTTTTTCTCGTTATAATCTTATCTTGTAAAAGACGATTTTTCGTTGAGACAATTTTTTTACAACAAGTAAACTTATTTGTAACACATCCTCTGGAACTAAATAACTGTGGAAATATTTAGACTAAATATCTTTAATGTGAATAGGAAACACACGAACTTTAATTAAAGATCAACATATTTTTCTCCAGCTTTTTACAAGGCTTCCTATTAGTCGAAGTCAATTGACAGTGGGGCCACCCTGTACAATGTATATAATTTCTTGTTATGTTTATGATGAATGCTTTTGAAGTTTCCCGCAGATCCTTTGTAAAGCGCCTAAAAACGATTGCTTCTAGGCATGTCTTTAAACAAAGAATTGCAAATTTCTCTTGTTACATTTTTTATTTAAAGCCTTGTTTTCTTTTACATATTTACAAAACAACAACATTGTTGTAATTCTTGTTGATTCTAAAAGCTTTCATTTCAAGTTAACTACTATATTTAGGCAATTAAACATTTACGAATCAAAAGTTCATTCTCTTTTTAACCAACCTTTTTCACGGCTAGCCTAACATTTATTTAAATCTCAAGACCTATCATGATAGAAAATTTTCCTTTTATAATTTAGTTCAGTCCAATATTCTTTAACTCTATAATAATTAAGACTTTATTAGTATTAACATTTCCAGCTGTCTTGTGCACTTATTCAAAAATACTGTGCAATTCTGAGAATGAAAGGCAACGAGTTCACGATATCGTTTTCCAGTTTTCTTTCCTAAACTCAACGAATGAATTGCCTTTCGTAATGACCGCGCATACTCTTAATGCCATTCTAGAGAATTCAGGTTAGGTTACATAGCATTCTGGTTTTTATGAAGCATTTCAGTTACTCGGTCAAACCTGAGCACTAGTTTAAGCTATGACGTTAACATAAGTTCCTAACCAGACTTCTCGCAGACACTTGGCCGAGAACAAGCCTGACCACACAAAATTCTTAACTTGAGTATTTTCGTAATTCGTAAAACCTGTTCCAGGTATAACAAAGCATTTACGTTTGCGTATTTTCTTGTTGTTTTCCTTTAAATAGGCCTAAACATACATACAAACATATGTAACCGAGAAAGGTACTGTATTATTTTAGCAAAATATATAAAAGCTCTTTCTTTTTTTTTCATTTTTCCTTATTCTTTCTTTTTATTTATCATACTTATTCCCAGAATTTTTTTTTTTTATGAACGTTCTTGCTCTCTTACCCAATCGAGTAAGGTTCTGTATTCCTATAACACTCATTTCTTGCACTCGTTCCTAGATTCTTTCTTGCTCTCTCACGTACACATGAGAGCACTGGTAACTAAAGGGTTATGATTGATGTGTCTGCTACTCTTCAAGGATCGAATACCATATCCGAACACGTGATCGTAATATCGAGTTAACTGTTTGGAATCGGAGCCATTCCCTTGGTGAGAAGTAACTCTACAATCGTCCTGCAAATAAAACGGTGTAGTTTTAAATTTCAATGCGGTAAATAGACAACCTCTTGTGTCTTACGTGGCGCTTGGATACTAGAGTATGAAAAGCTTAGAATTAACCCTTTTTCTCCCACTAATGACCAAGACAGAATTTCTTCCACATATCAATACAATATCCTAAAGACAAATGATGAGAATGAAGAAAAACATCAATTAGGGTATTTTTAGCTGATCCAGTACCAAATTCCCTAAACTCGCATCATAGAAATTCTATTGCAGACGAACCCTAACCCTATTACTCAAAGATGATCTTAAAAGTGAAAGGATTAAGCGTATGAAAATTTTGAATTTTGGAACACTTTTATTCTCCGTAAACCAGACATTCTTTCACTTATCATTGGTATGATCCGCGACCTTCTTTGCTGGAAGATTTAGTTCGGTTCTAAAACAATAGGAAGAGTATTTTCCAATTGCCTCAAATTTTTTATTTCCAGGATGTAACACGCCATTTTGAATAGAAAATATTTCATGGACAATAACTGATGTTCTGCGAAAATCATGCCCGAAAAAACGTACATCTCAAGATATATCCTATATAAATATTTACTCTGTGGGTTGATTTTACCTGATGCCATAAACGAAGAGGACGAATCCGATAAAAATTGCTGCAGATGCGTCTAAGAACCAAATGTTTGGATTCTGATCGTAAATGACGTCACTCATAGCCATCACAAAAGCCATAACTGCCTCTGCTGTCGAATTAAAGGCTGTGAAAATAAAACATACCTTACATGATTCAAGGGCGTTACCAAGGTGTGTTTTAAGGGTAAACACAAACCTGTTTTTGTCGGGTAAAAATAATTATGATAAATAAGGGTTTGATTCGTTTCTTTACGGGCGCGAGAAAAACATCGATCTAAGTTCATCCCGCTTTGGTGAAGGGCGAATGCTCGAAGCATCAGCTTCACCTCTCTACGGTGGCCAATTCACGTTAATAACTTAATTGATAAAACCAAATTATTTTG